TAATCTTTTGAAAAAAATATTGTGCAGGGCTTTTGTTATTCTTTCCTGGATGCCAATTACTTCAACTCAGTAGTCCTAATACTTAATTAATCATGGTTTTCTAAGGTGATTGAGGCATGCCGCTGGAACAATTCATTTTAGAAGTTGTGAATACATGATATTCTCTAGGTGTATCATGTTGATGAGACAAGCAGCATGGTTTAGTGCCATTCCATGGAGTGTTATGGCATTCGGGATACATCGGTGGTTATGGTCAGACACATGATACATAATGGCACAAGTGTGACTTTGACTCGCAAGATCATGCAGGTAAGGTGCTTAATTCATCAGCATATATCTGCATGAGTATAGGGTCTACTTTACTTGACTTTTGGGGACCTGGCATGTGATTTACTTACTGTTCTCTTATGAGGCTATAATCATAAACTTGGAAATAGGAACCTTTAAGACCCCTTTGACTAACTTTAGCATAACATGTCTGTATAACTCTTACCCCCAGGGTTGTTTCTGTTTTTTGCTTTAGCGGGACACCTCATCCACTATTGTATCTATACTCTTACTATAATACAAACTTTTATTTCCCATTAAGAAATAGAAAAAAAAAAACCAGTTACAGGGACTTTGAGACCTTTTTCTTTCTGTAAAACAAGGAACTTGTAACATAACACTTAAAACTCCTGGAGAATCCTTGACTTCTAAGTTTAGTATTACATATGATGGGCTGGTGCTAGAACTCTGACACGATTATTGTGCCACTGTTGGGCTTTGGAGTCTTTTTCCTTTGTTAGACTTTTAAAGGTAGCTGCGCTTGTCTGATAAGTTTGCCTCTAAAATTAAATGGAAGGGTAGAAACTAGGATGAAATATATAGAAATCCTTTTTTCTATGAGCTTACAGAAGTATAAAATTTTTATCTTACTTATTAAGAGTTTAATATGAATTTTACTATTAATCTAGTACATAGAAGAACTTGTGCTTGCATGATACGTTCTTTTGATGTGTCATGAGTATATCAGACACTTACACAAAGTGGTTATGAGAAGATTTTTGGTGGAACATGAGTGATTGAGACTATATTATCTATTCTTTTTGTTTTTTATATTTTGAGTCTCTTGTATTTCCTTAACGTTGTTTTGCACTGCTCTTTTGAATTATGTGGTAAGCATCCAATCTTTGTCTTATCTGCAGTCAATTGGTTTTTTGGTCCTGGGATTGCTCTAATTGGTGTAACTGCAGCGAAGTCCAGTTATTGCATCTTCTTGCTTACTTTAGCTATTGGGGCGAATCTTTCAGTCACTCTGGTTTTCTTGGAATCTTCGGTTTGAGTGCTAAAAGCTAAAAACATTCAATAATAAGCTAGAAATACATCTCAATTTCCTCTTTAACTTATTTCCCTTTTCTTTCTGTTACCAGGAAATTGCACCCCAGTACTCTGGTGTTTTACATGGTAATATGAAATGTTACAATGTACAATATATGTTTGATCTCATTCATTCATTAAACCTGATCACCTTAACTGTAAGGACTTAGTGTCACTGGTGAAACGGTTACATTGAGTCATTTAAAGGTCTCGTGTTTTAACATTAGTTCTGTCACTGGTTTCTACTAGTTACACCATAAATGGTGATCTTCAAGCTGCACACAAGTGAGTGCACTGCTTGGTTATTATGGTTGGTGAAACTAAGTGATCCCTTGTTATGTAAGTCCATTAGAACATTAGAAGTTGGCCATAAAGGTATTATATAACAATTTGATAAATAAATTAGGTGTGAAAGCCTGCAGATAATTGTTTTCTTCACCTACTATGAAATATGTGAAACTGCTCTATCTTGATCTTCAAATTTAACTTTGATATGATAACAATTTTCTTTTCCTGGTTTAGGAATATCAAATACAGCCGAACCTTTGCAGCAATTTTAGGAACGGTTGGAGCTGGGTTTTTTGTTGAACTAGTGGGTTCATTCCGAGGATTTTTGTTGCTTACGTCGCTCTTATATTTCCTCTCTGCCCTTTTCTACATCGTCTTTTCTACTGCCGAGAGAGTCAATTTTGATTAAACTGGTAAGTATCCTCTGTTGTGATGATTTCAATCATTTTCTTTCCTTCTTTTGGCTATGTTTTGCTTTTATTGGTCAAACAGTTATGTTGGGCTAACATGATAGGGTAATGCTATGTGCACTAACCAAATTATATTAATCCAAATACTAATAATTGAAATTTTGAAATTTCTTTTTTTTTTTTAGTTTTTGAGGGGAACTGACGTGACAATAAGAGAGGTCTGTCACGTCAGTTAGTACTTAAGTTAGTATGATTTTGGTTAGTGCACATAGCATTATTCTAACATGATATGGGTAGTCTCTCAAAGCCCAAACACCCCGATCTCATCGGGATGAACCTCTGATCACTTCCTTACTTGGGAAGAATGAATTGTATCGCTTAGCTACAAAGGCACTGCCAGCAGGGCCTTGGCGTTTAGCCGGTCTTCAAATTGTTATTGTTTTGTAAAACCCAGTCAAGCAATCTGATGCCCTTTTTTATTTCCCTAAGACAGGTGACTTTTTGCTCGTCAGTTTCATGAAATAGTTTAAGACGTCCTGCCACACTCCAGACAATTGTAATGACTCAGATGCTGCAATCGGAGTAGGATTGGGAAAAAAAAAAAAATTGTACAGAATGTTGAGCAATCAACTTCCGATGTAAATATCTTTTTTTTTTTTTAGGTCATCTTTTCAAAAAATAAAAGAAATCTATGGCATATGATTTCACATCCCTCATGCATTGAGGCTTTGGCTTTTAGGGGCAATACGGTGATTGTACCGAATCTGTAACATATGGCAAGTTATGATACTGGGTACGTTCATTTGTGACCGTTCAATTGATGTTGGATTGTGCTTCTGCCATTCTGTCTCTATCTCAAAGCGGTCAATTTTACAGTTCTTTTAGGGTGCGCGTTTGGTTGCGGGTTAAGTAAAATTATTGGGATAAAGTCATCTTATATTATTTGATTATCATGTTTAGTTATCAAGTAATGTAAGGTTCTGGTATTTTTTTAATACTAATAATAAGTATTGTTGATTATATATGAAATAATTTGATTATCTTATTTTTTTTAGTTATTTTAAGATTATCTTGGTAATCTTATTTTTGTTATAATTTTATTTTTTATTAATAAAATTTTAGGATAATATTGTCCTTGTTTTTAAACTAATTTACATGAATTTGACTTTTACAATTTTATCCTAATTAATTAATTTTTTGGACAAAAATACCTTTGAATTCAAAATAAACTGTAGTTTACTCAAGCCACTACCCTCACTCACCTATTGTCCAACCGAAAATGGCTGCCGTGCGTTGACTTGGCCAGATTTCTGGTCGAAAATGGCCCTATCGGCACACGGAGGCTATTTCTGACTGGGCTTGATTTATGGGGTGCATTGTTAATTTTTCAAACTTTTATTATGTGGTTGTTTTTGTTAAGTTTTTAAATGTAGAGAGGTTATAGTAATAATCTAAATAATTATATAATAATAATATTTAAATAGAAGACAATTCAGTAATTTAAATAACATACCTATCAATATTTTTTTGTTTAACCAAATATATTAATATAATATATCCACTAATTTATTCTAACCTACTAAACGTATTCTCCTAAGCATTTTCGATAATCCTTAGGATAACTTTTCTTTTCATTAATAGTATTTCCACTAATAAAACATTTCGTGAACGAAAACTTTGCTCCCATCCCTTTCTTTACATGGGGGATGGAATTTTGCTAATTATGGTATGTTACTATAATGTGCTGGCCGGCCCGTTGATGGCGAACCTCGTCCAACTTGATAATTGGACCGCCTAATGCAAACCTAACCTCTGACCAATTATCAAGTTGGACCGCCTAATGCAAACCTAACCTCTGACCAATTATCATTTTATATTAAGCGTTTGGTTGGGGGTTAAGTAAGATTGTTGAGATATTGTCATTTTATATTATTTGATTATCATGTTTGGTTATCAAGTAATATAAGATTTCGGTAATTTTTCAATACTAATAGTAGATATTGTTGATTATATTGAAATAATTTGATTATTTCAATTTTTTTAGTTATTTTAAGATTATTAAGATAATCTTATTTTTGTTATAAATTTATCTTTTATTAATAAAATTTTAGGATAATAATGTCCTTGTTTTTAAATTAATTTACATGAATCTGGCTTTTATAATTTTATCCCAATTAATTAATTTTTTAGACAAAAGTATCCTTAAATTCAAAACAAATTGTAGGTCACTCAAGCCATCACCCTTACCCACCTACTGCCCAATCGAAAATGGCCGTCGTGCCTTGATTTAGCCAGATCTCTAGTCGGAAATGGCCCTATTGGTGCACGGAGGCCATTTTTGACTGGGCTGGATTGGTAGGAATGCATTATTGATTTTTTAAACTTTTATTATGGGGTTGTTTTTACTCAATTTTTAAATGCAAGCGATTTAAATTAATAATCTAAATAATAATATAATAATAATATTTAATTAAAAGACAATTCAGTAATTTAAAAAACATATCCATCAATTTATTCATTTTAACCGAACATATTAATATAATATATTTACTAATTTATTCTAACCATCTATTCTTTACAGGCAGGATGGAATTTTGCTAATTATGGTCTGTTACTATAATGTGCTGGCCGGCCCGTTGATGGCGAACCTCTTCCAACTTGATAATTGAAGCGCCTAATTCAAACCTCTGGCCAATGATATATTCTATGTAACTACTGGATTATTGTCTATTTGACTTGATCATATGTATGTATAAAAATTTCCGCCAATTGTCTTTCCTTACGCGTTAAAAAATTATACCTATAGATGCTTGAATCGGTCTTCTTCATATTAAATTCAATCAGTGAATACATGATGGCAACCATCACCAGATTCCTTAAAACTTTGGCCAAAACATATTATGATCAGCCTACTTCTCTGCACAACGGCCACAAGCTCTGCAGATGAAGAAACCGTCAACTCCCCAAGTTCTCTACTCGAGCCAAGCAAAACTGAAGTTGGACCGCCAATTGGCCGGAAAATCTCATCATAAGACTCCCTCTGCCGTCAGCTATATCATAGCTGCAGCCAAGAAAGTGACTGGAGTTTTCAGAGTCTTTCTCCCCAGGAAAACAAAGGCCACTTCAAATGGTGCTGTAACTGATGATGCCAGCAAAAGTAACATTCAAGTTAAACGACTATCATGTAAGTCAATCTATAGATTTGCTACTGTTGGAAAGGTTTAGTTTATAGTTTAGTGATTGTTTTCTTTACGCTGTGCAGATTCAACAGATCAGTCAACAGAAAGTTACACAAAGAATTCAACAAGATTCAAGTCCTCGGATTCATATGTTTCTTCTGGTTCCATTAGTGAACAGGTTGCCACAGTCAACTTCTCATTTGAAGAGATTTACAAGGCAACTGAAAAGTTCTCTGCAGCGAATAAAATTGGAGAAGGCAGGTTTGGAACAGTGTACAAAGGAAAGCTTAAGGATGGATTTATTGTTGCTGTAAAGCGTGCTAAAAAGGTACACAATTATGCCTGTGGAAGAATGGAAGTTATATTCTAAATCTATGATTATGTCCCTACTAAACGTTTGACATTGCTTGATGACTTTGATACTTCTGGCAGAATAAGTATGACAAATACATGTTACTGGAGTTCAAGAATGAAATACTGACCTTATCAAAGATTGAGCATTTGAATCTGGTAAAGTTATTTGGATATCTAGATCAAGCAGACGAGAAGATTATTCTGGTTGAATATGTGGGTAATGGAAATCTTCGGGAACATTTAGATGGTAAGTCCAGAAAAGTATTTAACGGACTTTGAAAGTGGAAATTAATCAGCAGAACCAAGCAATGTAGAAATAATTGATACATACAGGATAGATGTGACTTTGACCATGCAAATTTTCAATTACAGATAGAGCACGTTCTTGATTCCATAGCTTAGTGTCGGGGTAAACAAATTCTAATAAGAACAGCCGTTCTTGTTGCAGGTAAAAGGGGAAATGGACTTGAAACAGCGGAACGTCTGGACATTGCAATTGATGTAGCTCATGCTCTTACCTATCTTCACACATACTCAGGTAGGTACATCATCTCCATAGAACCAGGGCCAGATTGACCCAAGAATTTAACATTAGACACCTTGTTAGGCATCCCTACACCCTAAACCCTAAATTAAGAGTTGAATCAAGGTTTTTGGGATCCCAAAAGATCAAGGCTGCCAACACTGATTGCACCGAAGTCTTCCTTCTCTCAAAAGAAACGAACTTTTCCATCCTCCTGATCTTTTCTCAATCTTCTCAACAACTGGGATCCCAAAAGCCTTGATTCAATTATTGGGTTGTAGTTGTCTGTCCCACCTAACAAGGTGGTAGTAGTCATCTTGTTAGGTGGGACATAGCTTCTCAACCAAAAGAAACGGGAGGGCTAGGAGTTGGGAATTTGTAAAAAAAAAAAAAAAAATAGGGCACTTCTTGCTTAATGGCTGTGGAGGTTTGCTCAAGAGACAAAATTCCTTTGGTATAAGATTATCAAAAGCAAATATGGCCTCATGGAAAAGACTCCAAAGAATTAAAATATGACTCTCATGAAATCCTTGGAAAAGCCATTTCTAAGGAGCTTACTACTTTCCAACCTTTCATCACTTTTGAGGTGGGAAATGGCAAAGACACTTGTTTTTGGGACGATAAATGGTTTGGGTATTTTAGCTTGAATCAACGCTGTGCTCTTCTTTATAGATTGACCCATAATAAAAGAGTCAGTGTGTATGCCTCTTCTTTCCTTTATGAAAGCTGGAACTTAAATTCAAAAGGAAATCTGAAGGAAAGAGAGATTGAAGAATTCACTGAGCTTATGAGGCTGCTTGACAATGTTTCCATTTATGAGTCAAGAAAAGATAAGAATTCGCTTCCCTCATTGGTGTGTTATGTGCTAAAATAATGCAGAATCCTCTGACCATTTGTTCCTTCACTGCCCAATGGCTTCACGATTATGGACAAAACTTTGTAGTGAAACCAATCTTCATTGGGTTACTCCTAGATCTTGTTATGATTTACTTATGGAGAACTCTACTTTCTTTGGTAAAGGAAAAAAGGCCAAGACTCTTGGTAATTGTGTGATTCTCGCTCTTTTGTGGGTTATCTGGGGTGAAAGAAATAGAAGGATCTTTGAAGACAGTGGGGAAGATGAAACTGAAATTCTATGGGACAAGATCAAGTTCTTGGCATCTCTTTGGGCCTCTGTCTCAAAAGACTTGAGGACACCTCTTTTTTCTTTATCCATCTTAATTGGTTAGATGTAGTAAGATAATTCTGGTTTTTAGGACTTGTCCATCCATAGTGTCTCTTTTTGGGTTTCTTTCTGCACACAGGCTCATGATACTACCATTAAAGCTAAAGCTTTAGCCCCTTTTTAGATGGGTTACTTCTGTAGGAGTGGATTTCTGATCCACTTTCTAAGTTTTTTCATTAATATACGTTTCTCCAGTCTCTAGGCCATAGGAAGTATCTGAGGCTGTTTTTGTCATAACTCTTTGAGACTCCAGATTGGGAAAGTAAAAACTTAAAGGGGCTGACATTTTGCTTTTTTAATCAACAGATCCTCCAGTAATTCATAGAGACATAAAAGCATCAAACATCCTCATCACAGATAAACTTCGGGGCAAAGTGGCAGACTTTGGGCTTGCAAGAATGGCTGAAGAAGATCCTGCTGCAACTCACATTTCTACTCAAATTAAAGGAACATCAGGCTACCTGGACCCTGAATACCTCAGGACATATCAACTAACTGAAAAAAGTGATGTCTACTCCTTTGGTGTATTGCTTGTAGAGATGATGACAGGCAGATACCCCATTGAACCAAACAACTCGCTGAAGCAGAGAGTAACCATAAGATGGGTAAGTGCTGCTATGAATATCCCTCAATTGAGACTTTTATTGCATTCATTGTCTGTATTGAATCTCCTGAGTCATATAACACAAATTGTCAAACTGATATAAGAACCTCAATGTATGCTGCAGGCAATCCAGAACTTAAAACAAGGAGACGCCATACTCGTCATGGATCCAAGACTCAGAAGAACTCCAGCATCCACTATGGCAGTGGAGAAGATCCTTAAACTAGCTCATGAATGCCTGGTACCTTCAAGACCATCAAGACCTACCATGAAGAAATGTGCTGAGGTATTATGGGGAATTCGAAAAGAATTCAGAGAAATATCCCTATCTTCTTCTTCTTCTTCCACTGCCTCTACTTCTCACCACTCTTCCCAGTATCCCATTAGAGATGCCAAGAAGAATAGGCATACATTATTTGGAATTGAGGATGACGATAGCTATAAATTTATTTCTGCATAAAACAAGTGGCTCTTTGTTTTCAAATTTTTTTTAACATAAAATCAATGTAAATTACCTCTTCTATGTGTTCATCGTTTTGATCTTGATTGTACTTCCCAA